CACACACACACACACACGTTAGGTACAGAAAACAAGGGCACACCCAAACTGCAAAATAAATAAATAAATAAATAACAAACACAAAGGTGCCAGTCAGTCTGGTCTAAAATGTAATAAAACAAATAAAATTAAAAATATAAAAGAACAACATACAACATTTGTCACACAATGTGACAAATCTAGAGGAGAAAACTTTTTATGCAGGCTATATAAAAATAAATGTCTCTACCTTATTGGGACTTCTGACACTGAGAGGAACCGGGGGAGGGGGGGGCAGGTCTCCAGATGATCACCAGTTAATGTGGATCTGTTCTTGGACTTGATGATTTTCATGTGAGAGAAAGCAGACTCACACATGTAGATCCATTAAGTTCTGTCAAATTCAAAGCACCTCTTTTAATGTTAGGATACGTTTCCTCTGACAGCAGACTGCAGAACTCTCCATCCATGCGACTTGTTGCTCAGGATTTGATCCCAATGTCATTTTGCAAAGTCAAAACCTCATTTTCAACACCAGAGCAGTCCAGCAGAAACACAGACACGAATTTGGACACATTGTCAACCATCCTGGACAAGGTCTTTATAGCGGACTCGATCTCACTTTTATTTTTAAAATCACAGAAAAACATGTCTGCAGCATCAAACACTTCTTTCATAACTTGGTCATCGCTGAAAGACCTTTTTTGTGTTGAGACAGGATGGGCTGCATTAGCCTTACCTCTGGTGTGAAAATTGATGCTGTGCGGTTTTAGGAGGAAATCCGCGTTTGTGCATTGTTTTGARATGCMGTTCCACGTTATCCTTTTTGGACAAGGCAGCGCTCAAATTACATGATGACACAAATTCCCACTCCAGGTGAAAATAATAAGTTTYTGTTTGCTTGTTAGCTTGTTTTTCATTCATTTTTTTCCCGCCTCAAGATCGTGTTTTAAACTCGTGACCCTAAAGTCTTTGCAAGATCGTGTTTGGAGCGCTGTCTCACAGCACCCAAAACTCACGAGACTACGCTCCTCTGAGCTTCATTCTACCTCGGTAGAAGCGGTGGAGGTGGGAGGCGGGAGGAGTTTACATTCCTGAACGCGCTCCCTCCGCTTTCCTCCTCCCACCTCCACCACTTCTTGCCAGAGTTAGAATGAAGCTCAGCGAGCTCCCGGCCGGAGCGCTACCTAGAGCAAGGTTGTGCTTAGCGGGCACCTGGGAATCAGCTGCGACTGGTTGGGCACCCCTGCAATAAATTGTGTTTCCTTAGTTGTGTTGCTCTAATTTATTTCTGAACTTTTTGGATTTACTTCACTTTTAATAATCACAGAGAAAGTAACATTTCTAAAACTATTTTAAGACTTTGGTGAGAAAATGGTTAGTTAAAAAGTTGAAATTATAAATATGGTTATTTGCACAATGTGTATAATATTATACAGTATATGTAAATTATTTGCATTAATTGTTTGAAGTGGTTTGAAAAAAAGGTCTGTTTTTGAAGTTATGCCTAAATAATTTAATAAAACTAATATCAGAAATGTCTCGTCAGCCAACAGACCTTTCTTGATTAAAGTAATTGACAGATGGATAAATAYCAATTATTGGTAAAGTAATTCATTTAAGAGTTGAAATATCAAATTATTCCTGTGTCTAAAATAAAAGAAAAACTTCAGTTTGACCTTTGACCCCTCAAACATCCTGAAGAATGTTGGAGTTTGTCAGCGAATGAAGCTCTGCAGCATTAACACCGCCTCAAGACAAACTAACATTCCGTGTGTGTGTGTGTGTGTGTGTGTGTGTGTGTGTGTGTGTGTGTGTGTGTG